TTTTTAAAAATAGTACTGGAGATTGAAGCCTGAACTTGCAGCCCTCCTGCCTCAGCCTCCTCAGCAGCTCAGATTATACATGTGCATCACTGTGTCAGCAAACATTGCTATTTGAAACCCCTACACTCTGGGGTGGCTTCTTCTACAACAGTGGGTAACTGTAATAGTACCACTGCTGCCCAGGGGAGGCTGGGATTTAAACCTCAGCCTCCACCTCACTGACTCATAATAAAGCTTTTGTCTCTGCATGTCAGAGGTACTTCTCCTTGAGGTGACAGGGGGTCACATCACCCTTGCTCCAGCCACCTCACTGTAGACAACTCCTGTGCACGGGCCAGGTCCCCGCTAACCCCTCATGGCCCACACAGGAGTCTCCAATTGCTGCTGCCACTGCCCTGGCAATGGGACAGAGGTCACCAACACAGTGGCGTCCTCAGCCCATCATGCAACAGTTACCATCAGGGGAACCTTCCCTTTCTGGTAAATATGCTGGGGTGATCGGCTTCTATTTCCCCCACTGCCCTGGTCACTCCCACTGGGACTGGGGACATGCACCATGAACCTGACTTCACTAGGTATGGAGGACGGACACAAATAATGGCCACACTGACCAAACACAAACCCCTCCTCTGTGTTCTCAGACCGAGACACTGGGGCTCAGCCAGGCTGACTCATCCATGGTGACCAGGTGGTGAGCAGAGACTCTGCGGGTGCCAGAGCTCAGACACAAGCCCAGCACCTCCTGCACAGCCCTGCTTCCCGGGCTCCCAAAGCCAGAATCCCTGTGACAGGGCTTCGGGGCCCCTGCCACCTGCTTTCCCCTCCCCTACTTGCTGTTACCAGGGAATTCCTAACCAAAGGCCACCAAGTAACCCCACTGGCCAGACATCACTGCCCTTCTAGGATAAACCCTGGCTTCTTAGCACAGTGTGGACAGTAAGTGACCCCTGAGGTCACTCCCATCCTGGCTCCAATGAGGGGTCACATCAATCTGATCTTGGATTCCATGTGGGAACAGATTGCATGCACCTTGTTAAAGATAATTTGACACCGGGTATGGTGGCACACGCCTGTTCTCCCAGCACTAGGGAGGCTGAGGCAGGACTGCCAAGAGTTTGAGGCCAGCCTGTGCTGCACAGTGAGTTCAAGGCCGGCTTGGCCTACTCAGCAAGACCCTATCTCAAAAAAAAAAAAAAAAGAAAAAGAAATTAAACAAACAAAAAAATCCTTTGAAGGGCTGGGGGTGTGGCTAAGTAGTACAAAAAGGTGCTTAGCCTCCAGGTGGTCCCGGGTTTCATCTCAACACCACAATTCAAAAAAACAAAATCTCCAGGTGTGGTGGCTCATGCCTGTAATCCCAGCATTCAGGAGCCTGAGGCAAGAGGATTGCCACGAGTTCAAGGCCAGCCTGGACTACATAGTGAATTCAGGGACAGCCTGAATTACAGTGCAAGTCCTTGTCTCAAAAAACCCCAAAACAAACCGGGCATGGTGGCGCCTCCCTGTAATCCCAGCACTCGAGAGGCTGAGGCAGGAGGATGGCTGCGAGCTCGAAACCAGCCCGAATTGCATAGTGAGAGTCTGTCTCAAAAAGACCAAAAAAAACAAACAAACAAACAAAAAAATTAACCAGGTGTGGTGGCGCACACCTGTAATCCCAGTACTCTGCTGGGAGGCTGAGACAGGAAGACTGCAAGTTCTACTCCAGCCTGATGAATTCAGCGAGACCTTGTCTCAAACATAAAAAGGGTGCAAGCTGGTGTCGGGCTCGGAGTTTCGGGGACCTGGAGCGCCCGGGCCTTCTGGGATTTCCACCCAGATGGACACTGCCAGGTTCTCCAGGTAGAGGTGGGGAAACTGAAGCTCGGCGGGCTCAGGCACTGGGCGCGGATGCTGGGTCCGGCCTCGAGTCCGCCACCGCCGGCGCGCGCTGGGACGGAGCGTTCGCCTCTGCGAGCCTGTTTCCCCCTCTGTCACCGGACACAGTAGGGAACCTCGGACCAGCGCCCGAGGCGGCGCGGGGATGGGCTGGGGCTGGGGCTAGGGCTGGGGTTGGGGCTGCGGGTGGGGTCCTCACCAGTTCTTAGCCAGCTGTCGGTAGCGCGGACCCAGGAACCTGGTCAACATCGTACCTCCGTCTGCGAACTAGGTCACCCTGGCACCCCAAACACACTGCGCAGGCGCAGGCACAGCACGCATGCGCACAAAGGGCCCTGCGCAACTCCGCCGGAAGGCTGCTCGCGCAGGTCCGGAAGCCATTTACAATGACTTCCGGGGATGGTCGGAACACGTTAGTCGTTGTGTTGTTGGTGGGCGGGTGGTCCGGACGCGTGTCGCGGAGGGTTGTGTCTGCTCTGCGTGTCGGAGTGCCCCCGGCTTGCGCATCGGCCTGCGGCTAACTCAGGATGGCCTAGAGCAATTGAGCGGTGACTTTGTACAGCGGTCATTTCCATCCTTGCCCTCCGGGCTGCTTAGCCCCGAGGCACCTAGGCACTGCATAGAGAGGTCACAGCCTGGTGCGGCCGCCTGACACCCTGGCACTTAATGCCAGCGTTATTTCCAGTGGAGAGAACTGAGGGCAGACGGTGAAAGGACTTGTCCAGAATCACATAGAAGAGAAAACGTGGAATTTGAACCCACTTGTGGGTGGGAGCGTCGGGGTTTGTCACGGACTCGAAGCGGGATTCTGGCCGAGCGGCAGCGCCCGGGTCGGCTCATTCTGAGTGCTTGGAGGCCGGGTCGGAAATCTTTGCACATTCTCCTAAGAGAGCGCCCGCGATTCCTCCAGCCGGCAGCAGAGGGAGACAGGTTTCGCGGGAGCCCCGCGCCGGACAGGTCCCTGGGAATCGCAGTTTGCTGCTGCTGCGCCGGCCACGCCTTGCTCCTCCAATCCAGGTCTCCTCCGACCTCCAGAGCCTGTCAAGTAGCTCAGTAAGTCCCCAGCTTCCAGCCCCAACTCGCATGCACGGCGGGTGTGGGCTGAAAGAAGAGGGACGAGCTCACAGACGGCCCGCAGCCAGCGTACCAGTGCGCCTTTTCTTCATTCCATCCAGTGTCGCTCCCTCAGGCAACCCTCGGCGCCGTTCTTAGCCACTAGGCACCTGGCCAGTATGATAGAAAGGTCACAGCCTGGCTGGGTGTGGTGGCGAGCGCCTGTCATCTCAGCACTCTGGGAGGATGAGGCCGAAGGGTCACAAGTTAGAGCCCAGCCTGGGTAACTCAGCAAGACCTTGTCTCAAAATTTAGAAGCCGGGTGTGGTGGCGCACGCCTATAATCCCAGCACTCAGGAGGCTGAGGCAGGAGGAT